GTCCAGGTCTATTTCTGTAAGTCAAGGAGGCCATGCCCTTAATAATAGAAACTGTTAACCTTAATACAGTTATAAAAACCTTCACTCACTATATAGTTGTTATGAAGGGGAAAATTTGAAAGTTTGATGGACACACTCACCATTGGAGCCAGCCTCTAGTGGACATGAGAGGAACTGCAGTTTTTGTCTTTTTAATGAGAAAGCGTTAATGAGTAAAAGCACAGGGATGAATGCTCGTGTATATGATTCGATGTCAAAGACCACTGTAGCTTTTTAATGGTTTGAGGTTGGTAACCACATGATTCTCATGTCTGTTGGAGAGAAGCTGCCCTATGTGTCTGCACGTGCTCAGTGAGCAAACACACACACACACACCCTTCAGGTGCCAAGCCAGCCGTGCATCGCCCGGCCCCCTCCCATCCCCTCTCATTGCCCCTCCATTTGCATCTCCATGGCAACAGACTGGGCGTCTGGAGCGTGGGGTGGGGCAGGTTTCTCTTCCCTCTCCTTATCTCCACATTCACTCATCTCCATTTTTGATTTGCATAAATCTGTTCAAGGTCACCTGTGCGATGGGAGTTTATGTGTGTTTGGTTTCCTAATGATGTGGGAACCAAAGAAAGGAAATCCCCACACATCATTAAAGCCGAGAGGGCAGGGTCTACACACGAGTGCCTGATAATGTCATACATCATATTTAAAAGCATTTAGTGTTCAGAATCATTTTGTTTCAGAGTCAAAACTGTTTCCTGACAGCTGGGGACGCCCCCGTTTCTTTGTAGTGAGGTTGTATCAGAATCTGAGCCACTGTCTGTGTGTTATGTGCAGTAGGTGGCACTAGAGTAAGCCTCCAAGGAGCACAGGTCTGGCATCAATAAAAAAAATCAACATGGCTTAAGTGGATGTTCTGTTTTGATCAGTTCCACCAATTTCTTTGCTCTTTCTGACAAGAAAGTGAAGCCGCTCCTCTCCACCAGACTCCATTCACAAAAACAGGAATTTTGCCTCACAACAGAATTTGTTTGCCTACTTTTGCCTTGATTGTTTAGTTGGTTAAATTGTATGAACTTGGGGTTATAAAGAGTTAGTTTGGATCTGAATAAAGGGGTCAAAAACAAAAATCACACAGCAGCTCTGTGAGGAAAAATCAGTTTTTGTGAATGAAGTCTGGTAGGTATGAATAGTGTAATTTTTTTTAAAAATTCTCGTGTGTTATTTGTGTGAACTTGTGTATGTACCTCCACAGTTGTTCTTATTATTCAAACCTATTGTTATTATTAACATTCAAACTTAATGAAAGAAAACTGAAATCTGCAACACAACACGCTGACCTGATTTATTTCTCCAGATGTCTCCACATGTGCAAAACTTCATTGTAATTTGTGTGACTAATGCAGTTTATCCCTTTTTACTGAAGCATGTTGTGACTGTTTCTCTTCTCTTCTCTCTCCTCATGTCCTCCTGATGTTGGCTCACCTGTCCACCTCCTCCAATCACAGGTAAGAGAAGTAACGCTGCGTTTAGTTGTTGGTCGCCTCTGTAGCCTAAAACAGGACAATGTCTCCTTTATTTGCTGTTTGACCTTTGACCTCTGTGCTGTTGAGTCATTAGATTTTAGCTGTTGAAGCTGAGTTGGCTTCTTTAAGTGAAGCATGTTTATGAGTGTGCAGATGTGCAGCACCTCCTTTTCCTCTTCCTTCCTCCTACCAGAGGGGGACACTCCCTGCCTGCTCCCCCCTTTCTCTCCCTCCTCCTCCGCCCCCCTCTGCTAACTGACCCATTTTCCCCCGTCTCCAGGGGTTGAGGGAGAACGTGAGGCAGTAGGTGGAAGGGAGGGTGTTGTACCTCCCACTGCTCCCTAAGTCTTTGATGCAGAAGAAAAACCCTGAATTCCTGCAGGATGAGGAAGATGAGCGTGTGTGTGTGTGTGTGTGTGTGTGTCATGTTTGATTAGAGTGCTCCCCGCTGGGTGTTTGCTAAACATGATTGTCACAGGAGCTCGTCTTTAACCTGTTGTCAGGAAGTGTAAAACTAATGTTCTTTTACTGGCTTTTCCACACAAATACAAATACACCAGTGATTTTCCCCATCATTGCAGACCTGATTGTTTGCGTTAAAGGTATAGTCAAATATATTTTAAGGTTATTTAACAGGAAGAAAAAAGGATACTGTACTCATAAATGTACTGTACTGTACTCAGTGGTAACAACAGCAGCCTTACTGACAGAAAAGTTCAGGATGTCCTCACTAACGTGACTAATGGCTGTAATTAGTCAGATGATCTTCTCTGACTAATTGACCTGCGTCAGACTTCTGTTACAAAGTTGTACTCCGTCTTTCAGACTAAATACAGGTGGAGGCTCTTCACCCAGTATTGACAGCTGAGGTAAACAGCAGGCTTACAGTCTTCTACTGAGATGGGAAAAGCTATGGTGTACAGTCTAAATTTAATGTTTTTGGGTGATGTTTTGTCCCACAGCAACAGGAAGAGTAAGAAAACAGAACTGCAAGCGATCGTCTACAGACTGTAACTTTAACAGGTTTCTATCCGACTGGAACCTATGTGTACCTACAAACTCCTAGTTATTATTATTATTATTGTTATAAAGAATACTCAAGAGTTATTGTTGAAAACTTTTGACACTGTGCCCATTTTTGTTTACATTTTCACTCTGTAGGTTTTGGGGGGCTGAAGGCACCCCGGTGTAAATTAAATTCTATGTACAGGAACTTTGGGGGCGGGCCGAGCAGCTCTGAATATTAGTTGTGAGTGTTCAAAGATGTTCATCAGCCTTTTATGAATGCGAGATGTTTCCTTGGAGACAAAAATAGAATGATGGAAATATTAAAACTGATTGAATGCAGGTTTAATTTAAACAGCTATGTTATTGATTTTTATTCATGGTAAACCGTTTTTATACGCCGCCTCTGCTTCATCAGCTCTTCTCTGACAGTTTAAAATAATTCGTCAAGCTGAAATCCTCCACCACAGTTCCACATATATTTGCAGTTTGATGAGATCTGTCTAGCGTTGCGTATCGAGTAAACGTCTCCGGCTGTTTTGGTCATTTTAACACGTTTTAAGGGCCGAGCAGTTAATCCCAGAAACGGCAGACTCGACTCCAGATACAGAGGTGTGTGTATCTCCCTCGTGGTGGTGCGGCGTGTCAGACACGCTTTGGCAGTGTCTGCAGAGCTGCATACATATTTCATGTGAGGCAGCCAGAGCGTGCCGACACAGCAGATGGATGCTGGGATGGTCAGTCAGCAGATACACACCACCTCTCTCTCTCTTAGTTTACCTCTGAGCTCGCCTGTTCCTGATGTATTGATCAGTATCAGTGCTTTAAAATGAGCCTTGTTTTATAACTTTATATAGATTTATGCATCTGTACTCGTGTAATGCTCGCTGAGACCCAAAGTGACTGAAGTGACTGGCCTGTAAACAGATCAGAGTCTATTCATAGTAGATTCAAATGACTGCTATTAGTTATAAAGTATATTATTAAGACTTCTTCACACTAGACTCTAGTGTGTTTATGTAAAACCCATAAAATAAATGGCCTGATTTTGCATCTGTGGGTGTTTATGTCATTTCAGGATCAAGAGCTGGAAATATGATCCACAGAAAGATTAATTCAAACCTTTTCAGTGTTGCTTAATCGTCTCTGTTAAAGGGCGTCTGCATGCATTTAGAATTGAAACATCTAAATGTAAGTAAATCTAAAACTAATATATCTTGAAAGGACTCCGGCAGGGTTTAGCTTTGGCCTTTATTAAACTGTAAATAGTTGCAGGATATCAGTGAGGAGTATTTTCCCAATAATCCCAATAATCATGAGGGCAGTTGCTCAAAATCCCTTTTTAGAGAGCGAGGTTGGACGGGTTACATCGGCACTCACTGTATCTCCAAAGGCCTCAGAGAAAACTAAACATGTGTTGAGTCTATATTAAAGATAACCTATAGCTGTCATCCTGTTTCTAAGCCACTAAAATAAAGAAGATAAAGTGAAATTTGCCTTGAAGAAAGAGGCTTGTTTCCCCAATGTTGCTCCCAAACCATAAGGAAGATGTGAATTTAAGATCTGTTGAAAACCGAGGAAAAAGACGCGTGTATAGTGTCTTAGGAGCAGTAACGTGTTTCTGAAGAGGTGATTTCTATTCATTCAAGGCTTCAAATGTTATTTTAAGGCTTTTCCTTTGCCTTAAATGCAGCAGCAGAGCTGTTTCCAGACACTTCTTGGTAATCCCATTTAACAGCCATGTCTCCATCTTTTCCTCCATCGGTCTTTAGTCTCCACCTGCCGGCTGCAGTTGACCCCCGGTTAATCCCGCTGTGCTCGCAGATCACCGTTTCAAATATCCAGCTGCTTTGTGTCTCCTTCTATAAACCTCGCCGCAGTGACCCTCTCTGATGTGGCGGTGTTTGTCCACGCTCTTGCCGGGGTTGGGTGCTGCAGGGCCCGATAAGGGCAGTGGCGGCGGCGGGGTCCCCAGAGAGCCAGATTAAAGCTTAAAGGACAGGTTAAAGCTCTGCAGACCTCTGCGGACACTTAGATTCCAACTTTACTGCAAACAGCCTGCACCAGGAAGCTTAAACTCACAGGAAAATGAGAAATAACCTTCCTCAAAGTGCGCCGGCTATAAATCCCTCTCACTGGTATCTGTCAGAGGTCAGGACCCCACACGGGGTCACCAGATAAATCTGGGAGGTCACGAGATGATTAACGAGAGGAAAGAGAAAACAAATCCTCACACACACACAAAAAGCTAACAGCTCATATTGGAGGACGTCGAGATAAAGCAGCCTCTTACCGCAGACAGCTCTGATCTGTTTCTGATCGAGCTGATCGATTGGAATTAACACAGCGCTGACTTTGACGAGACCTTGTCATTTTCCTGACCAAAAGCACCCACCATCTAAGTGCCCTTGAGCACTCTTTTACCTGCAGAGGGTAGAAAAAGACAGTCCCC